CTGGCTTTGGAATTTAGTGATAGTTACTATCAGGTTAGTAGATACGAGCTACAGCCAACTCCAAGATTCAGCCTCAAAGCCCCCACCCCATTCTCAGCTATTTCTTCTCAAGTATCTTTTTCTTATCCTCTAAAGTATCCTTTTCTAGTCCCTAGAGCAAGAAGTCTCAGAAGTCAGGTGTGTGCGCCCTCCCTGCAAAGTGTCCTTGTGTGCAAGTCCACATCTGCTTCTGCTGTCCTTGTTGCTCCAAGCACCAGACATTCTGCTAGGAAAATTCTTAACCGCAGGCGTTTCTTATAACAGTGGAGACACTTGCCCACGGTCACACAGCCGGCCAGGGACAGACCCAGGATTTTCACCCAGATCCCCGGGACTCGCACCCCCAGGATCTGATTCCTTGCTCTCTCCTGCCTCCCTGGAGGATTCGTTTCAAATTGAAAAAGCAGGAAGGAGCCCCTGGGACTCTTGGAAAGAAGGGACCATATGGAAATGTGGCTCTGGAACTGCCTGTGTCCACACTTTGGGGAGGCGGATGTGCTTGGAACAGCCTGTATTCCCGAAAAGATCTGGGGGCAACACAGCCTTTTGTTATAAAACCACTATATATATATATAGCTGGCATAATGCACTCTGTACACACATATTCATGCATATATAAATATGGGAGCTCTGGCATAACAAACAGTTCACGTGCATTGTGAGCTAAAAGTGGAGACTTCCGAGAAATTTCTCACTTTTTGCAAATGCACAGGCTTCCCAGCACCTTGGCGTTCTGTGGAGAATGTTCAGTCATCTGTGGGTACTTGGGTACAGAGTTGAGAACCACTCGCTGACACATTGGGCTCCTTAGGTACAAACTCTGACTCATTCCTCACTTTTAGTCCTTGACCTCAGCTAGAATTTATACTTGCATGTGGTGTGAGGTAGGGGTCTATCTTTTTTCCATATAATTAGCCATTTGTCCCAGCTCCATTTATTAAATAGTTAGACCTGGTTTGAAATTTTAATTCCTCCACTTATTAGTTGGATGACCTTGGGCTGTTGAGTAACTCTCGACATGGTTGACCGCTTTCTTTTTGAAATACTTCCCTTGGCTTTTCTGTCATAGGACTGTCTCAATTTTCCTTCTTCTTCTGGCTGTTCTTTTCTTCTCCTTCTCAGACTCCTTTTTCCCTCCTTGATCGTTATACTTTTTCTGCCTGGTGATCTATCGAGGTAACGGCTTCGGTCACCACGGAAATGTACATGACTTCCAGATTTTAACGTCCAGCTTACAGCTCTCAGCTGAATTCTGGATCTGTGTGTCCACCTGCCTGCTTGACATCTCCACTTGGATGTCCCACAGGCACTTCAAATGTAGGATTCCCCCAATGGCTTATGCTTTGCTCCCTCAAACTCGGCCCTCCTCCAGGAGTCCCTGTCTCAGGGAATGATATGCTCCAGTTACGATGTCTTCCAGTTACGAAAGCCATACATCTGAGCACCATCCTCGATCAACCTGTCTTCTCTCCTCTCTCGTTTCCTTCACCCAAAACGATGCCCAGCACATAGCAGGTGCTCAATAAACACCGAATGATAAAATGAACAGCACTTCACCCCTAAGTCATGTTCCTGTTACCACCTGAATGTCTTGGGAATTAGACTGCTGCTATTTGTCCTCTCTCCACAATGGTCCTGTCAACTACCTCCTCAGTGACCTCACAGCATGCACCCTGGCCCCCATTAGGCCAAAGCTCAAGTCCAATTAGGTCTTTCCTGAAGGTCACTCTCAAAACTGAGTCACATTTTTCTGTGGCTTCTCATGCTTCTTGGGATGAGTCCCAACTCCTCGCCAGGCTGCCTCGACCCTAGCCTCACCTCACTCACTTCCAAGACCCTCTTCGTGAGTCCCCGAGGCAACCAGCCCTTCTTGCTGCCCTTGAAGATGCTTTGATGATCCTGCCCCCAAGGGGACTTCATACACACTGAGTACAAGTTTTAAACAGAGGAACCTTAAAATCAGTATCTTCTTAGCTTTGCAATTACAAAACATTCAGCTAGCTTTTTGTAAATATTTGCACATCAGGTTCCTTAATGATACGAAGAATGTAATCATTAGCCAGGTAGGGTGAAGTCTTGTTAGAATTTTATCTATTTTGTATCTTGTGAGACTCAAGTCAACAGGCCCTTATGAGCATTTACTGAAATGTCAATGAATAATTCTATTGCCTTTAATCTTGGGACTGTATTATTTGTGTACCTTCTTAATAAGAAAGTAAATTAAATTTACTCCCCGTATGTCTTAGAACATTAACATTTTTAAGTATTTAACTCATCAACTGCCTTTCTTTAATCTTGTTATAATGAATTCAGCCAGTATAAACCCCCCACCCCAGATTCTCTTGCAGTTAGCAAAAAACACTTGTTTGTTAACAAGGATAGAAGTCGAGTTAAATGGTGATTATAGCAAAGACAAGTTTAAAACACAGTGCAGAATTTTCATTTTCCCTTTGATCTTCCCAAGCCTGGAATGCTCAGCCTTCTTCCTTGCCCCATGCTCATCATCACTGTTCCTTTGGTGCCACCTCCTTAGAAGTGACAATTCCCCATATTTGCTTTACCCATCATTTCCTCTGCTTCGTTTTCATCACAGCTGTAGTTATTAACGTACTGTGTCATTCTTTGATGAATTTCTGTCTCTCCTACTACACAGTAAAGGCCTAAAAGTAGGGTCATGGTATAATTTATTGTCCAAACCATGACGCTTGAGGGTGAAAGGGGGAGCTATTAATTACGTTGGGTCTACAGGTGTACACGGAATGCCCCAAATTATCCAGGATGAGTAACTGCCCCATTTAAAGATAAAGAACGGGCTATTATTTTTTCCCTCTCGCTCACGATTCCTTCTCCAGTTCTTAGCACATAGTTGGTGACAAATACATGTGACCATCACATGTTAAGCCACCCTCAGTTTCTCCATCTGTGAAATGAACTTCACGACAGCCCCTCCCTCACAGGCTGTTGTATGTATCAGGCTACCCCTCATAAGCCTGTTCCTAGACAAGAGTACAGATGGAGGCCTACATGTCCTATCGTTAAATATTTAAAAGTTAGAATCAAGTTAACAGATGCTAAACAAAATATGATTTACCCTCTTCCCAAAAACACCTTCAAAAAGACAAAGGAGAAAGATATGTATAAAGCAACAGGCCACCCCAAATCCACAAGCGATTTCAAAACGGATTTCCTTTTCTGCCACAAACCATGCTTCTCTCTGAGGAGTTGGACTGGGAGTTGGGGAGGGGTCGGACCTCTCTCACACTTGTTGAATCAGTCCCTCTTTCAGTAATGTGGAAAACTCACATGATAAATATCCATTTTTCATTCATCTGTGGGCGGAGGGCCTGCTCTGCTTTCGCTCCCGCCCGCATTCTCGTCTGGGACTTCCTGCAGGTGTCTCCTCCCCCCACACCCCCGCCCCGCTAACTCAGGCGACCTCTGTTCACAAGGTGCTTCCATCCCACCATCCTGCAGGCAACGTTTTAGTGAGTTCCTCAGAGGAACCAGAGGCTGGACAACTCCACCGGAACTTAGAATTCCTGGATAGTTTGGCATTCTGCCCAGGAACATGGAGGCTTCTGGAGAGCAGGCTCTTGGCTCCCAACTCGCAGCCCACCCCACCATGGGACCTCCTGTGCACCCTACTTGCTTGCCCCAGCTCTGTTCACAGCCCCAGAGAGAGCAGCCTGCCCCCAGTTTAAAAGTACACACCTGACACCGTTGCAGGGAAAAGGCTCATGCAAGTTCTAGAAGGAGTCTAGGGGCTGCCGCTTCAGGGAATTCTGGGGTCTCGAAGCCCTAAAGCATGTCCGGAGCTGGGACTCATCCGAGTCCGATGGGGAGAGACTCAGGCCTGAGTCTAAGAGCAGTATTGATGCCAATTTCATTCCACGTCATTTATTGAGCACCTACGGTGTGTCCCTTCTACTTATTGTTAAGTGCTGTGGATTTCGCTGTGAACAAAACAGAAGCTCCTGCACCCACATTCTCGTGGGGAAGACAGGCAGTAGATAAAGAAACTAATACCTATTAGAAATAGATATATTTCACGTGGGTGATGTGATTAGCGTGCTGCCTGGCAGATAACAGGTGGCCAGGGAGCATCGTCAGCTCTGACCTTGGGCTTGGCCTTGGCCTTGGCTCTGGGGAAAGGATGAAGGTATCGCTCTCCGCAGTTACCTCCTTCTGCCGCCAGAGGGCGAGAGGTGGTTCGCTCCTAATAACAGTAACAGCAACAGGAGTGCGAAGAACTAAGAGCCAAGAGTTACTGAGGATTTTTTAAAATAATATTTTTTTAAATTTTCAATTGTAGTTGACATCACAATGTTATATTAGTTTCAGGTGTACAACATAGTGATCAGATATCTATATAACTCAGTAAGTGATCACCCCAATAAATCTAGTGCCCTTCTGACACATAGTTATTGCAATATGATTGACTATATTCCTTCTGCTATACTTTAAATCTCCACGACTATTTTGTACCTACTAATTTGTACTTTTTCGTTTTTATATATATGTATTTTTATTATTTTATAATTTTTTTATTAACGCCTACAGCACCTGATCTTCCCAGATGGTCTCCCAACCAGGCCCGACCCTGCTTAGCTTCTGAGATCAGACGAGATCGGGCACATTCAGGGTGGCAAGACTGTAGACTAATTTGAACTTCCTAATCCCTTCCCCCATTTTCAGCAACCCCCCAACCCCCTTTTCATTTGGTCACTCTCAAAATGTTCTCTGTATTTATGAGAGTTTTTTGTTTATTTGTTTGTTTGTTTCTTTAGATTCCACATGTTAGTGAAATCATGGCATTTCTCTTTCTCCATCTGACTTACTCAACTCAGCACAATACCCTCTAGGTCCATCATAAAATGTCTTTTTCTATCCCTTTACTTTCCATCTGTGTGTGACTTTTAATCTGAAATGAGTCTCTTGTAGGCAGCCTATGTACGGGTCTTGTTTTCTATCCCTTCTGCCACCCTATCTTTTGATTGGAGCATTTAATTCTTTTTCTTTTGAAGTACTTGTTCATAGGTACGTAGTTACTGTCATTCTTTATTTGTATTTTTGATACATATATTTTTCTTCTTCTTAAAGAAGTCTCTCCAACATTTCCTCTAATGCTGACTTGATGGTAATGAACTCCTTTAGCTTTTTCTTGTCTGGGAAGCTCTTTATCTGTCCTTGGACTCTAAACGGTAGCTTTGCTGGATAAAGTAATCTTGGTCATAGATCCTGGGTTTTTATCACTTTAAATATTTTGTGCTAAGCCCTTCTGTCCCGCAAAGTTTCTTTTGAGAAATCAGCTGACAGTCTTACGGGTGCTCCCTTGTAGGTAACTAAATGTTTTTCTCCTGCTGCTTTTAAGATTCACTCTTTGTATTTAACCTTTGGCATTTTGATTATGATGTGTCTTGGTGTGGGCCTCTTTGGGTTTATCTTGCTTGGGACTCTCTGAGCTTCCTGGGGTTATGTGTCTATTTCTTTTACCGGGTTAGGGACATTTTTCATCATTATTTCTTGAAGTAGGTTTTCAATTCCTTGCTCTCTCTCTTCTCTTTCTGGTCCCTTATGATGCGAATGTTGATATGCTTGATGTTGTCCCAGAAGCCCCTTAAACTATCCTCATTTTTGGGGGGATTCTTTTTTCCTCGTTGTTGTTCTGATTGGGTGTTTTCTGCTACCCAATTTTCTAAATTGCTGATTTTATCCTCTGCTTCATCTAATCTACTGGTGATTCCTCCTAAGGCATTCTTCATTTCATTACTGTATTCTTCATTTCTGACTGGTTCTTTGTTATGTTTTCTATCTATATTTTTATGTTTTCTGTCTCTTCATTAAAGTTCTCACTGAGTTCATCTACTCTCACTCTAATTTCATTGAGCATCTGTATAACCAATAGTTTGAACTCTGCGTCTGGTAGATTGCTTGTATCCATTATATTTAGCTCTTTGGAGCTTTGTTCTGTTTTTTTGAGTGGGACATGTTTCTTTGTCTCTCCATTTTGGCTGCCTCCCTGTATCTGTTTCTGTGTATTAGGTAGGGCTCCTAAGTCTCCTGGTCTTAGTAGAGTGGCTTTATATAGTAGATGTCCTGTGGGGCCCAGTGGCACAGACTTCCCTGGTCACCTGAGGGAGGTGCTCAAGATGTGTCCCTTGTGTGGGTTGTGTGAGCCCTCCTGTTATAGTTGAGCCTTGGTTGCTTTTTGCAGGCAGATGGGAGGGCTTGACCCTTGGGCTGACTGATCGTAAGGCTTAGACGGTGAGGAGCTGACCCTATGGCACAAGATTCACTTTAGCAGGGCTCTAGTGCCTGCCCAGTGGGTGTGTCCTCCTCAGATGTAGCCCTTGGTGGTGCTCCGGCCCCAGTGCTGATTGAAGCAGGCCACTGGGCGTGCTGGCCCAAGGGCCTCCTGGGAGAGGCCCAGCCCCATGCCAAGTTCAGCCACAGCCTATGCACCCCTGAGGCCACCTGGTAAGAGTCATCAAGCAATTTGTAGGTGGCTTCCACCTGTGCTGGGCTTATAGGTGCCTTGGGAGGCTAAGCCGGGAATCGAGGCCAGCTGCTGCTAGTGTGGGGCTTGAGGATGCTCAGCAACAGGTATGGGGGCACGCTGAGGCTAGATGCTGATTCTTTGGGTTTTGTGAGCCTTTAGGAAATTTTAAGAAAGTCTGCAGTAAGAGCTAAGACAGGCCATTTGCATGGAATAAGCCACTGGAGGAAGCTTGGGTGGGTCTGCATATTGGGAGGAGCAGAGTCTCAGGGAATCACCTGGGGTGATAGAGACTCAGATATGGCAGTGGCCTGCATCCCCACACTGGGAAGAGGTAGGGCTCAACAAAGGAACAATGCTGCCCTCTGCCAGCACTTCTGTCTGGGAGAAAGCCACCTCCTCCAGTCCTCGCCCTGAAGCCCAACAATTCAGTCTCCTTGTGTGTCCCTGGTGCTCCTTGAGCCAATGCCCCAGCGCTGGAGCTCAGAGCGAGTGAGTCTGAAGCAAGTAAGTCTGGGCACGGGCCCTTTAAGAGGCATGCCTGTAACTCTGGCAACCCCCTCATCCCCCCCCCATCTCATTCAGCCACAATCTTTGCCGGTTTTCACAGCCAGAGGCTGTGGGGACTTCTCTTCCCAGCACTGGAATCCTAGGCTGCGGAGCCCAGTGTGGGGCTGGAACCCCTCGCTCCTCAGGTGAGGGAGGGGACTCTGCAGCCAAGACAGCCCTCCCCATTCTCAACTGCTACATGTAGTTGTGGGACTGGGCTATTTCATGTCTCCAACCCTCCTACCGGTTTCGAGGTTACCTCTTATGTTTGTCCCTAGTTGTAGGGCTTCTGTTCAGCCAGCTCTCAGGCAACTCCCAGTGATGGTTGCTGTGTAGTTCCATGATACGTTTGGTGTGGTCAGAGAGGAGACATGCACAGCATCTACCTTCTGCGCCATCTTGATTGGTCTTTGGCCAAGGGTTACCAAGTTTTATGTTGATGTCAAAGATCACAAAGTATGTCAGTCCCTCAGATCTATTTGAGTCTTTAGCACAATTAGCCAGAGTGCAGAGAGAAAGAGAAGGCCATTGTAGGCAGAGGGATCAGGATGAGCCAAGACATGAAGAGAAGAGGCAGGGGAATGTGGAACTATAAGAAGGCTGACGTTGCTGGGGTATGAGAGACCGGGGTGTGTGGGGAGCCAAGTCCACGGAATTGCTGGGGCTTGTCTGGCACACCGAGGATCTGAACTTCTTGATGTGGGCACTGGGGAGCCATGGAAGAGCATATAAGGATGGGAGTGATGTAAGCCACTTTGCGTTTTGGGGAGATCGTTCTGGGAAGTGGAGAGGGTGAGGGAGTGAGAGCGAGAGTGAGAGATGGACACTCTTGGAGGGCAACCATGGCAACTTCGGAAGCCAGTTTTCAACCATGAAGGAAGCCACAATTAGTTTGGTCAGTGCTCCAGAGGCAGAGACGATGCAGAAAGAAACCAAGTCTGTGATAATATTGCTGAGGCCCTGGAGGGAGCCTCACATAAGATCAGCCCTCTTACCAAATTCTTCTGCCCTTTGACGCTCCATAAATTACATTGATTTTTACTATTTTCTTGTTTCTACCTCCCAATTGATTAAGACGGTGGGAGTTACTGTACCTTTAAAGTTGTGTAATATAATGGTTGTGGTGAGCTGAAAATGGTCCCCTCAGAGATATCCATGTCCTAATTTCTGGAAGCTGCGAATATTTATTTTAAATGACAAAACAAGAACAGCAACGACAACAAACAACATCATCATCCCCCAAAAGGTTTTTGCAGATGTGATGAAGTTAAAGATCGTGAGATTGGGAGATTATTTTGGATCATCCTGATGAGTCCTAAGTACGACCATATTTATCTTTATAAGAAGAAAAAGGGAGATACAGACAGAAGATTAGGTGAGGTGAAGACATGTGGATTTCCATTTGTCCAAGCACCATTTGTTGAAGGGACCTACTCTTTTCCTATTGAATGATTTTGGCACCCTCGTCAAAAATCAATTGGCCACAGATGCATAGGGTTTCTTATCACTAATGCCTAAAAATATAACTGATTTGTGCATGTCGGTCTTGTATCCCATACCTTTGTTGAATCCTTTTATGAGCTCTAATGTGTGGAGTTTTAAAGGATCTACTATCTGTAAGATCATGTCTTCTGCAAATAGAGGCTTACTTCTTCCTTTCCAATTTGGATGCTTTTTAGTTCTTTTACTTGCTTAATTTCTTTGGCTAGAACTTCCCGTACAATGTGGATTAGGAACATTGGATGGTAAACACACAATGCAATATATATATTACATATTATTGAATTGTACGCTTGAAACCTATATAATTTTATTAACCAATGTCACTCCAAAAAAATTAATAATAAAAAAGGCGAATGAACCCACACAGGATAAACCCAAAGGAATCCACGTCAAGACACGTTATACACAAAGTTCTGACAACTAAAGACAAAAGAAAATGTCTTAAAAGCAGCCAGAGAGAAGAAACACCTTAACTATAAGGGAGA